GACTGTTGACGTTTGAAGCAATTAGGAAGAGCTGAATGAAGCAGTATAGTTTGTCGAGACATGCGACTAGTTGAGTTGAACATCAGAGTATATTTTGGTCAAATTCCAAACCTTGATCACACAATACATTATCGTAATCGTGATTTGATAACCTAAAATTAAGTCTTAAAAATGATGACATTCTCATATTCAAGAAATGCTGTGATCTGGTTAACACAGTGAACTGGAAACGCTGCGGTACTAGGCTAGATATGTTTAGGAATTAGCTCAACTTTCCTTTTCAAGAAGAGAAAGAAAAGATCTATTGTATTCCTTGGCATCAAAAGAAGAAAGATTAATTCACAGATAATCTTTTTGTTTTTGTCAATAGTTTTGTTTTATAGCACACATTAGGCAAAGCATCATCTAATGTAGGCTTAGTTGATTTGTTGCACGTGTAGCACCACCAGGTTGAGAAGTTTCAATTTACTTAACAAGTACAAAAGGGTTTTTAGAGATAGATTCCATTCCGAACGTTTCTCTAATAATCTGAAAATGATATCAAAACAAAATAGTAAGAACGTTTCAAAAATTTTGTCCAAAATCGACAGAAACAGTCGAGGAAAACAAGCAATTTCTCAAAAACAAGTAATGGATTTGGACTTTCAGCAAATGAGAATAAACAAGTTTGTGATCTACTACTTTGACAGAAAGATGGACAATTTCATATAAATACTAGTTTAATTCGTAATTTGTGGTCAATACGTCAACTTCAGATTTGTTCTATCTACACTATGGAGCTTTGATCAAGCAAATAACAGTTTACCATCAGAAGTTGAATAAATAAGATCTCTGCTCAGAGTATTGTTCATCAAATGGTACATAATATTTCACCATAACATATGATATGAAAGAGAAACTAGTGAAACAATACTTACGGTCACAGTGGGATCTTCATTAGCCCCGTTTCCGCATGAATGAAACATTCCTTTGTGCATGTAAGAGCGTTTGAGTTGGACACTGTGAAAGAATGCATAAGATATATTTATGGGATGAGTTAATATTTTACACTTAATCAAAATTCTACAAATAATGGTAGATTTTTGTTACATTAAATTTTGCAAATTCTTACTCAAATTTCAATTCACCTTCCTGCTGGGTTTTTCATTCCTTCTTACTGAAGAGTCGTGGAAAACCACATATTTCATATTCATACTCAATAATGCATAGAATACATTGATGGACTTATTAATATTTTTTACCTCAACCAAAATTCAATGAATAATTGGATTTCCTTTTATTGGTCATGATGTCGCTGTAATAGTCTGTAATTGTGAATGCATGGTAAATGTCTGTACTAGATAAACCATTTATTGGAGAAAATCCTTCAATTCTTAAGGCTACGGTCATTTATACAAACTAATTTGATATACAGCAGAGCATTAAAATCTAAAATTTAAGAGCAATCCTACTCATTATACTTAATTCATAGGAGTAGGGTTATACAAACTTATAAATGAACAAAATAAGAGGGGGACCAGAAATGAACCTTGCTTTACTTCCATATAATTATTTATTTTGACTTAAGCTCATGACATGTATTATGTGGTGTCCCTATAAGTGCATTTAGTCCTGAAAACACAATTTAAACTTTATATTACAGCTGTATTTGCCAAATCAGAGCTAAATATATTATCCGAGCTATAGTGTGATGATGATGATGAATACATTGCAGCAAAGAGCTTGAAACAATGTTCACCGTTTATACAGTTTAAGTTAAACTAAATAACAGCAACGCCAAAGCGTAGAAAATTAATATTTGATCTTGAAAGTATTAACATCAATTGCTAAGATTTGAACATTATGCTCTTGATGCAGAACACAATAGTGTTTTACTTTAATGGAATATGTTTATAATCATATCATATGACATTAATGATTGCGTCCCATTTCATGATGTTACCTTGACATACACGTACTTTCAGACAAATTTGTTATCGTTGGTAGAAAACGGTAGATCTAACGTACTCTGGCAAATGGCCTAACTTCGCCCCTGTCGTGAATTGTGTTTTAACGTTTACTTTTTATTACCTTTAAATGCTTAGTTTCATCCTTGGTCAGAGGGAATAGCAAATATGACGTAAATAAAGGGATTACAAGCTTTATTCCTGTGAAGAAACGTATACCCCGTTTTTGGGTACCCGGTTTTTTCGACCGGGTACTTTCTCGACCGGGTACCGGGTACCAAGTTGGAATCCCGCATGGAGGATTTAGTACCCGGTACCCGGTACCCGGTTTTTTCTACAAACCCGGATTCAAGATATAAAATTCAAATCATTATGAGAATACGACAGTTTTTTAAAATGCACATATTGCATTCTCAGTATACTCAATGTTTTATAACACTAAAACAATCCCGGTGTGAAAGTTTATACGGTCTCCTATTTTGAAAGTCCGATAGACTCTAACTCCTGGGTTTACAAGTCCTGGACTTTAAAATCTAGAATCTATATTCCCTCGGACTTCTAAACCTTAGTAATGAACGTCTTGGTTATGGGATTTATTGTCTCTTGTGGACTTGTAAACCTAGATTTAAATATCCATAAGATTTCAACCGGACTATCACACCTAAGATTTATAGTCTGGATATGCTACAGTTATCTTTAGGCCTGCGTCGCAAAAACAAATAAACAAACAAACAAACAAATTACTAGTATGTCACATTACACTTTTATTTGCGAATTGTTACGTCAGTTTCGTTTTTCGACGTCAGACGTACAGTATGCACTCTTACAATATATACTAATAATTATTACATCATTATTCGAGAGTTATTGGTGAAACTGTTTTAAGTTACAGCCATTTACGGATTTTTTAAAAAATTGTCCTTTTTTATTTTTAATCTTGTAGATCCCTGCCCTCTCCACCCCTGCAATTTCGAAGGGGCCAGTCCACGGCTCCTCCGTCTTGCCCCCCTTTCTGTCTTGTCTTCTTAAGTTGCGCATCAATACTAATGAACCTACTGCCAAATCCTGTAAAGTTATTACATTTATTTACTTCTTCTCCACGATTACCATTACATACCATTACATTACATTACATTAGCGATGAAATAATATCATGAGAAATGATTTGATATTGGGTTTATCCCATGATTACAATCATGAATTTAAAAAAAATCAAAAATCAATAAAATTCGTTTATCACACGGATATGCGTGTAATAAACGATATCAATTATTTTATTACACGGCTATGCGTGTGATAAACGATATCACATGCTTATGAGTTTGATAAACCATTTTCTGGGAAATATCACACGGATTTAAATAATATCAGAAATAGCAATAGCTGTTATTGTACAGATAACATATTAATCATGGGATAAATAAGGGTTATGTCCTGGGAGGTTTTGATATAGGGTATATCCTGAGGGATATATTTATATCTCCCCGAGGGACCGAAGGGACATTAGTGCACTCTGTGCAAAACTGAAAGATGTGGACAATGTTGGGAAGGCGTGATCGATATTTGAAAAATAACAAAGTGGATCTATGGAGGAGTGCATCAAGTCCACCTGGACATAAAATATGGTATTGACAAGGTCCACGTGGTTGTTTTTGGACGTTGTAATCTGAGGGGAAAGTCCAGGACTACTAAAATGGATATAAACAAGGATAGATTGTCCGTGTGTATGTTTTCGGACGTCGTAACCCGAGGGAAAAGTCTCGAGGACTACATTTGTGAACATATTTCAGGAGGAAGTGTCCTCATTGTGGCGTCGGACGTTATTATCTGGGTACGATTGACTTTATAATGTGAATAAATTAACATTACCTTGAAATTTGTTGTCGAAGCTCTTCTTATAGCCCTCTTTCCATTCACTGTTGTACCTGGTGGATACGATTTTTGCCTGACATATTGATAAATAACATTTATGTCCAGTTGTGTTTTCATCTTGGCATCCACTTTTCAAAGGAATAACATATACCACGTGCAACAATTTATACCCAGGTTGGCCATGCTTAACTAAACATCTGCGTTTTTTAAATATGACATTTTCTTTAAAAAAAGGGGTGTTGGGATACTTAAAAAAGTGTTTAACTGTATTGAGATTAAAAAAATAAGTTGACTCACATAGGGATCGAAACACTATTCTCTCGGCCACTGGACCAAGTCGTTATTGATTTTGCCAAGAAAGGTGAGACGAACAGACTCAACTTTTATTTATATTTATGCATAACTCTTTTAATATATGTAAAATGACGGTCTCTTTGACCTAGATATAAAAGTCCGGGACAATAAAATTGGGATTAAATGTCCGGGACATTTTATTCTTTCACTGGTGTGGAAGGAACAGAAGTCCATTGGTGATTATAGTCCATGGTCTTATTAATATATAACAGTAGGAATGACAGTCCTATTGAGACCATAAACACTGGGATTGACAATCCATAGGATGTATAAACCCAGGAAGCACGGTCCGTAGGACCGTGCTTCCTTGGGACTACTATTACTTTTACACCGGGATTAACCCCAGTCCTTGGATTAACTTTTCCCATCTTAATCTAATATGAATCACTTACTAATTAGCTGATTCAGCAAATTAAATTTATACGTGGATTCCCTTGGAAAGGACAAATCTTACTATAGATAGCCTTATTTGGGTGCCCATGAACTGAGATATGTGGAAAATATATTTTGGGAATTTTCGTTCAGTGTGACCACACCAAACAAGCACTATTTCTACAATAATGATGCATATATTGACAGATCTTGATGTCCAACTTTACTCATTTAAAACGGACCTCCTCCCAGTATTGTCAAACTCCATTGATCACTATACTCTACACATGTCCTCAAATAACATGTGAGCTGTAACAAACCCCACATGTCCGATTGCATTTGGTTTGTGTGCACCTCTAATAACTTTCTTTGTACAGATATAATGTACTTTACATACATTCTCACTGGACCTTATACTCGAAGGGGTTAACTGATTTATGAAGTCAATGCCAAGGTCCTTGGTGAGTGACTCGGTAAGAGCATTTGCAACAGCAATTCTAAAGTCATTCCTCTCATGGTGTCCTTGAGTCATGTACCCTGGTTTATGAGGCCATGCTATATTACCAAACCAGATGATACGTGTATTGTTCCATGTTGGATTTTGGCGATATTTTCTTAAAAGTGGCACAAGTAAGGTTTGAATAGAATTGAGATAGTTAGACAATGTCCCTTTGTACAAATCCCAAGCTCCATTATCCAAAATTATAGTACTGTAACGTTGATCCCCAGTTTTTACCACAGCTGGTTTAATATTTTGAAGCAGATTTTGTGAAACTTCAAGCACTCTGATTGACCAATGGAAGGAAAGATGATCATTATCAAATTTCCAATTTGTGTGTGCTTTATGATAAACTGATCTATTTTCAATCAGTTGTTGAAAATAAGTCATTGTATAAACGAGATGAGAGTCTCCGTAGCAATTTATGTTTCTTAATTTTTGAAAACAAGTTCTGAGTTCTGTCGGGGTCAACATCTTTGAAATACATTTTGAGTGCAATCCCCATTTTAAACTTCCATCGTGTAATATCCATCTCCCATGTTTAGAAAGGAATCTTGGATCTCTCACGCACTGAACCTTATTTATCATATTAGTCTCGAATTGTTCATGCGACAGCTGATCTCCATTATTTAGTCGGCAATTCTTTATTTGAGCAAGAATCAATGAAAATGGTCGAATTGTTGGAATATCAAGGAATGCCCCATAAGAAGTGTATACCAATGTGACAGTAATATTACTACATGGTGGTACAAAGGGACAACATACATGATATATCCCATTGAAATTATCTTTCACATTACACATAAAACTATGGACACCCTGTACAAGTATCCGAAAGCTGCTACCTCCATACGTTGATTTCCCAAAAAAAGTTTCGAAGATCTTCATATAAACATTATGACGAAGACTATCATATGACCACTGTATGCTATACTCGAATCTCGTTGAATTGTATAAACGCGGTCCAAGGATATTGGACATAAATTTCAAACACTTATTATTAAATCGTTGACTTGTGTTTATTCCAGCGAGATCATACATATGTTCTATCTGTAATAGGATCAGGTCATCAGAATGGGTGTCACAGATATTTTGAAAGTCTAAGACTGTATACTTCTGTTGGTTTGTTGTAATGTTTCCCCATGCATTAATTATTTGCTCAAAGTGTTCTTTTAACATTATCTTCTCCGATGTTTTAGGATGTTCTCTTGATGTTAATATCCCTGATGTTTTAGCTGCTCCAAAATTGCCTTTAGTATCCACATGCGCTTTGGGAGGTGGAGCAAATAATTCTATTTCTGGTTTTACGCCTGTATTTTCCCATTTTATCTGAGCAGCCAGTGTGGTAGATTGTTGCATTTCTTCAACTAGCCAAGGTGCTATGCTTAATAAATAGGAAGTCCCAATGACAACGATAAAAATGATGAGGAATTTGGCCCGGAAGATATTCATGGTGTTTCCAGTAAGTTCAAAATGACAAGTTATCAGTTAGCTTCATTTATTCATTCAATAAAATCTGCTGTAATTGTCATAACTATTTTTCCAATTCGATTGTCAATTATGATGCAAATTACAAGATATTCTAACATACCAAGTGTCACAATTACTTGTAAATGGCAGCCATACTTCAAACCTTTCATTTCCACCTACGTGTACTAGCCAAAATGTCTTAAGAAAATTTGCTATGCTTATGAGTATTCACATATCAATTATGAATTTTGAGCTATAGTAAAAAACAAGAACACAAATGTGTACAATATGTCCCCACCAATGGGTGATCCTGTCAAATGGTTATCCTGAAATGAGTAGACAAGACTTTACCGTTACAATTTTGGGATGGAAAATGCAAAAATATACCCAGAATGCCAACAAATTAGTCAGCTCTAGATTTTCATACTAAGAATCATCCCTGAAAATTTGAAATTGATCCGTCAAACAGTAAACCAGAAAACATGTAAACAAGACTTTACAGACAAGATTTTAGGACGGAAAAATCCAAAATGGCTGCCTTGACATTTACCCAGAATGCCAAAAAACTAATCAGATCTAGATTTTCATAATAAGAATCATCCCTAAAAATTTGAAATTGATCTACCAAATGGTTCACCTGAAAACGCGTAGACAAGACTTTACAGACAAGATTTTAGGACGGAAAATCCAAAATGGCTGCCTTGACATTTACCCAGAATGCCAAAAAACTAATCAGTTCTAGATTCTTATACTAAGAATCATCCCTGAAAATTTGAAATTGATCTACCAAACGGTTCACCTGAAAACGCGTAGACAAGACTTTACAGACAAGATTTTAGGATGGAAAATCCAAAATGGCAGCCCTGAAATTTATCCATAATGCCATAAACTAATCAGTTCTAGATTTTAATACAAGGAATCATCCCTGAAAATTAGAAATTGATCTACCAAACGGTTCACCTGAAAACATATAGACAAGACTTTACAGGCAAGATTTTAGGACGGAAAATCCAAAATGGCTGCTTTGACATTTACCCAGAATGCCAAAAAACTAATCAGATCTAGATTTTCATAATAAGAATCATCCCTAAAAATTTGAAATTGATCTACCAAATGGTTCACCTGAAAACGCGTAGACAAGACTTTACAGACAAGATTTTAGGACGGAAAATCCAAAATGGCTGCCTTGACATTTACCCAGAATGCCAAAAAACTAATCAGATCGAGATTTTCATACAAAGAATCATCCCTGAAAATTTGAAATTGATCTGCCACACGATTCACCTGAAAACACGTAGACAAGACTTTACATACAAGATTTTAGGAAGGAAAAATCCAAAAGGCCGACAATAAAAAAGTGATTGCGAGTTTTTGCTGATTTCCTTTTACAAAATTGTCACATATAACCACTGTTAACAAAATCATAGGCTTTTACAACAAAGTACACCTGAAATTATTTATAAAGCTACTAAATAGTTAAAGCTTTTACAACAAAGTACACCTGAAATTATTTATAAAGCTACTAAATAGTTAAAGTATGAAAACTCAAAAACACCGTTCAATATGAAACAAAGCATTATCGCGCGCTAACTTTTCTTAAGACATTAAAAATGGCTGACATGACTGAGCTAACAGGTCCAAAACCTAATCAGATGTAGAATAAAGTAAGCTGAACAAGATGTTAAAGTTTTAAAAGCAACAGTGAAGCAGTTTTTCTTAAAGTTTGCAGACAAGGATTTTAGCATTTGACTTCAAAATGGCCGACAGGGAGTAGGTATCGAGCTAAAAATCTTTCGTCCACATCTGTATGCACTCATAAGTTATCCCTGAAAATTTGAAGGTGATATCTGTAGCGGTTTTGGAGAAAACTACCGGACGTACGGACGTACGTACGGACGGACGGACGGACGGACAGACAGACAGACAGACAGACAACCGGACACGCCTAGGCCGACAATATGGCCCCACACTATGTGGTTGGGACATAAAAAGGAAAATAACACACATAAGAAAAAAAGTGTCATTAGACAATGTGCTTCATCTAGCTTGTACTTCTAGCTTTATTAATGTCCTACATATTTTTTCGTTTGCATCTAAAACATATTGCTATTACAGTTTTATATATTGTACCTAAATTACTGTAAAATTGGCACTAAAATGGCTGCCATTTTTAAAAAGTGGCCATTTTGAAAGTCTGCATTCGAGCAGGTCTTCAATTTCATAGTGCTTGACTCAGATTACAAGTTCGAACGAGTTCTACAACTTTGAAATGGAAAATGGTGCAAATTATGAGGGCAAATTTTTTGAAAATCTTCGTAATTGATTGATGGAAATTTTCACTGATAAAATAGGTAAAATTCTCATGTATCCACATGTAAACACATATATACAAATAACATGTATCCACATGTTCGTTGAATTTCTGCCAGTCTCGCTGTCTTTTTGTGTTAGCTTGTAGATTATTGTATCATAGCTGCATATATATTGATTCAAAAAATGTGATCATTTTATACTCATTAGCTTTAATCATGGGTATCCTTGGTGATGCCTGTTTGCTGTAAAAAATGTGTATTTCTACGTATGGTATGTATTATATATTTTTTGGTTAATGTAATATATATACTATGGTATATATTATATATCCTATGCTGTATATTATATATCCTACTTGTAATAAATCTCACCTTTGTCTGTCTATAGTAATGTGGGGTCTGACCATTTTGGGTCCTATTCCCAAATGACACCCTTGTTCTGCTGGATATAGGTTCCCTTTGGATTAGTCCTGAAACACGTCCGTGATTGTCCATGGGGTCTGTGATTTGGTCATTTATGTCAGGTTGTAAAGTGGACAAAGTCAAGTGCGATTTCTAGACAATTCTAGAAATTGCTCTCTAGAATATTCAAGTGACGTCATCATTAAACATTACATGGACTTCAATGGTGAGTTGTAAACTAAACTCAATATGCATATAGTAATGATACACTATTTTTTGTACAACACCGGAGTATTTTGATACATCACTGCCATCAGTCCAATGTAAATACTATTAGCTTCTTATCGTATATAATTGTATAGTCAATAAATGTCATTAAAAGAAATTCTGTTGTTTTATTTTATGTGACATTGGAGCAAAAGTGACATATTGAGTTAAAACGCTGTCTATCCCAGATTTAAAATTGGGTGGATTGCCTTTATTTGAAAATTGGGTAGCCAAAACTGCCCAAGGAGACACATACAGGGTGGTGAGCCAAAAAGGTAATCCAAACAAATCCCAATAACTTAATCATCCTGTATGGATTCCAGGCCTGTCAACTTGGGAACACCTGAGTGACTTGGAAATGTTGAACACCTCCCCTCAAAATGTGGACACCTTGGTCCAAATTTTGAACACCTCAAATTTTTCGCGCTCGCTACGTTCGCGTTCTAAACATCCATCAACGGGGGGGGGGGGGGGGGGTAGGTACGAAAAATTTCGAACGGAATGCGTGACATATACGTAATTCGCGTGAAAAGTCCGAACGAAATGCGTAAATTTTTTTCCGTCGTTCGTATTTTTGCTGTGTAGACGATCTTTTTTAGAAATTTTTCTACAAAAATATTTTTGCTTGACAATTACCAGGTGAAATGCGTATTTGCGTGACATTTTCTGTCACGCAAAAATAACTGGCGTGACTTCAAATTCTTCAGCAAATGCGTGACAAATACGCAAATTGCGGGACAGTTGACAGGCCTGGGATTCTAAGTCATATCTGGCACAATTTGACCTTGTCCAATGTTCTTTTATTCTACCAAGTTTCATTGGTCAAATGCTCAAGATTTTAAGGAAGTTTACACATCATGCTCAAAATGCTGTTTTAAGAGACAAGCTTGAGCCCAGTAAAGTTTTATGGCTACACACTCACAGATATCTTGTGAAATGGCTCCCATTTTCCTTCTAATCTCTTGTTTCATGTTGTGAGTTCCAACACATTTCTGCCAATATTTGTTGCCATGGCTTTAGTCACAGGCCCGCGATACCTTTTATTTCATTAATTTGAGACGCAATTGATATATTGGCAACAAATCAAATGTTATAAATGATTCTTCTTCAGTTTGGAATGTTTCTCCAACCCGATATTTAAAGATGTGTCTTAAATATTATACTTTACATTGATCACGATTCTTGTACTTTCTGTCTTTACGACATTTGCAAGAGTCGTTGATTGCATTGCCTTGATCGTTGGTCGAACTTCGATTCCAACTAAATCAGATTAAATCAGATGTTTATCCAAGCAAATAATTGTAACAACTACATTATTTTTTAGCAGTTTTGACACCTAAGCAGGGTAGCCTAGTGGCGTAGACTGAGGCTACTTTGCGGTTGAACATAGTGGGATACGGAGGTCTCGCGTTCGAGCCCCAGGTACGGAGTTGTTGATCATTGTCACTACGGACACCCGGTCCGAAGGTCCAACCGTTTACCGGCCCTTGGCATGGGTTGGTTCTCTGGCCGCTCTTGCCGGAGACAGATTGTGAGACTGTGGTTGGTTCCTCCACTAACGTGCTTTAGTAAACTCCGGGAGTCATATAGTATGGTAGCGGGCCCCCACCAAGGGCAGTAGTGGAACGACGCGAATCGGTCCCAGTATGGTTGCCTTGCAACTGAAGAGACTCGAGGAAATCATGCCATTCGCAGTGACCCAGAAAAGACTTTTGCTTCTTAATTTGACGTTTTAATTCATTTATTTACATACTTTATTCATATTACTTTCCAGGCAGTTATGATTTTTATTGGTCAAATGAATTAACGAGACATTGAGATACTATTAAATACATCTAGATAGTATCAAAACCATAATTCGATTTGTTGGACATATATAAAATAACACTTGAAAACACAACCATTTTAAACTGCCAATTAAAACATGTATTCAATGTTTCTAAATAATGAAACTGAAATATTGGGCAAAATAATTGATATTTCGTTTGTGGAATGAAAACTGATGATAGAGATAATATCAGTAGCCAGAAACTGTATCAGCAATTCAAACATGGAAATGATGCCAATTTAGAAGTATTATATGAAAAGAAATGTTTGTGAAATGGTTAGAAAATGAAATGACTTCAGAGTAAATGGGATCATTGTGGCACACATTGATAAAAATCACACTTGGATTTGGAAAGATTTAAAGTAAAACAAATGAATGCGTTTCTTACTATCTCCATGACAACATATCTTGCTCTCTCTCCACGACAACAATATTTGGCCCCATCAGCACAAGATCGAAAATACAGTAATTATCAAGATCAATAAGAAATGTAAAACTTTATATTTAATAGCACAATTATTTATTTCTACCAATAAAACAATACAATATAAATAATAAATATTATGTAGTTACTAGTTACTATAGTGACCCTTTACAAATTAATGGTTACATATATGGTAATATGATTACAAAATATATAAATAACAGATACACAATCTTCATTTATTTTTCGCTTACTTTAATTTTGCGACCTCACATTGTGTTTATTAATGCCAAATTGTGTAGTTACTATAGTGACCCTTGACAAATTAATGGTTACATATATAGGTAATACGATTACAAAATATATTCATCATCTGTTTACAAAGCATATAAATTAAAAGTTGTATTTCTAAAATTCTACAATTGTTAAAACTTAAAGGAATATTCCTTGCCAGACCATCTCTCTCCTAATATGGTAGCTATAACCATACATATACTTTCCATGTTTAGTAAAACATAGACAAATGTTTTGATATTGTCAATATTGATAACTTAAAAATACATTGCTCAATCCCAGTAGGCTGCCATCTTTTAAGATTTCACTCAGGAAGTGATGTCATCGACTCTCAACTTTGCATATAGCATTAGGTAAGGAGCTATTGGAATTACAAAACCAGCTGAATATTTTTTTCAATTTGGTATATGATTTAAATCCTTCTTGTAATCTCTTGTTTAATTCTAAGTTGTCAAGCCCTGAAAATATTTTTGCACAGAAGATAAGGGATTCTTGTCAAGAAGTGATTTTGTGCTTCTTTCCTATACTGTAATAGGCAAGGTTATAACAGGTGAGAGTCGATGACATCACTTCCTGAATGAAATCTTAAAAGATGGCAGCTTACTTGAAATGAGTAATACAATTTTGAATTAACAATATTGACCATTTCAAAACATTTTCCCGTGTTTTGCTAAATATGTAGAGTATATATTTGATTATAGCTACCATATCAGGAGAGAAATAGTCTGGAAAGGAATATTCCTTTAACCATTGGTTTTAGGCCAATATAAAGATGGCAGCACCAGCAGAATCCAATATTCACTGGTCAGTATCAAGCGAAGGTAACAGCCATCACTTCCGCATCAAATATGGCGGACGGTTGTTGATTTGGATATTTCTACCTTCGCTTGATACTGACCAGTGAATTTTACCTTTTTCTCTTTTTACAAGAGAGAATTATAAATAAACAGATCGATTACCATGGCATATTTATTTTTAAAATTATTTCTATGGCCTTAGATTATGAACGTTACCATCTATTTACACACGCCAGTCAGAATACACTGGACAAGTTAACATGCACATGTAAAGTTTTACATTCACACTACCCTACCCCCATACTGTAGCCTGTATTTCTTTAAAATAGATACAGGCTACAGTGAAGTTAGAAATGAAGCGGGTATTCTCTATCATTGTATATAATAGGGCTTCTCTGGTAATAATACAATACAAACTGCTCAATGAATCTGTACAATGTATAGTAGAACACTAAGAATATATGCAAAATCTAGTTTACCTTCAGAAATACGGAAATAAACATCTTCATTTCTCCATTTGCAACTTCACTGTAGCCTGTATCCATTTGAAAGAAATACAGGCTACAGTACAGGTATGGGGGAGGGATGTGTGCAACTGTCCCTATCCTTATTATGCTATGTTTATAAAATGTAACCATGATTACAAATTCATCATAATAATGTAATAAACTACAAAAATGTTGAATAAAACGCATCTAAAAATAAAAGCAAGTAAAATACATGTATATGTGTGAATCTCATAGAATTGGTCCTAATATTGTCTTAACTCAAAGCCTGACAACGCGATTTTTAAAACGACAAATATTGTTTATGTTCGGTGATTTAAAAATCATCTAATTTGTCATATATTTTCGAACCATTGTCATAACAGAACGTAATAAAGATTCAAACAGCAACATGTTATGATGTCATAATGATCAACTGATCAACTGATCAATGTAATGTAAAAGTTATTCATGTAAATGTTATTGTTATCAAATATAATAGCTATCAAATTTATGTTAAAGCTATCAATATATTTTAATAGCTATCAATGTAATGTAATAACTGTCAAACAAATTTATGTCACATCTATCAATGTAATGAAAACAAGGCATTAACATGCAAAATGTCACCACTTGCCATTTGTTACAGGTGCCAAACTCCCAATGACAGACGCCAACCACCAAACACCACCACAAAAAAAATTAGTACCGTGGGTATTGGGCTCACATGGTGACAGAAAAAAACGGATATAATTTTTTGCTGATTTTTTGTTACAAAATCATTTCAAGCCATCTGTCTCTCAGTCAATTAAAATGGCTGAAAAAAAACGGATATAATTTTTTGCCAATAATTTGTAACAAAATTATGGCGGCCATTTTGAAAATAGGCGAGCTTTTGAACCAGGAGTCATAGGGGAGTTTTCTGAATTGATGTTGAACAGAAATAACTTAAAACAGGAATCCTATCGACAGAGGTTTTAAAACGTGCCACAGAAAGTGGATTTCGCGAGTCAGATAGACAAATCAATGTTAACTAAAATGGCTGAAAATAAATAAATGGATACAATTTTTCGCTGATTTTTGTAACAAAATTATTTCATATATCTACCCTTTACATTGACATGGATTTTTACAATGTAGGACACCTAAAATTATTTGTAAAGCTAGGAAATGGGTCAAAAGTGAATTTCGCGAGACAAAAATGGCGGCCAATTTGAAAATAGGCAAGCTTTTGAACCAGGAGTCATAGGGGAGTTTTCTGAATTCATGTTGAACAGAAATAACTTAAAACAGGAATCCTATCGACAGAGGTTTTAAAACGTGCCACTGTTATTGACAGAAAGTGGATTTCGCGAGTCAGATAGACAAATCAATGTTAACTATAAAATGGCTGAAAATAAAAAAATGGATACAATTTTTCGCTGATTTTTTGTAACAAAATTATTTCATATATCTAATCTTTACATTGACATGGATTTTTACAATGTAGGACACCTGAAATTATTTGTAAAGCTAGGAAATGGGCCAAAAGTGAATTTCGCGAGACAAAAGTGACGGCCATTTTGAAAATAGGCGAGCTTTTGAACCAGGAGTCATAGGGGGGTTTTCTGTATTGATGTTGAACAGAAATAACTTAAAACAGGAATCCTATCAACAGAGGTTAGCTAGGAAATGGTCTAAAAGTGAATTTCGCGAGACAAAAGTGACGGCCATTTTGAAAATAGGAATCCTATCGACAGAGGTTTTAAAACGTGCCACTATTGTTGACGGACAGACAGACAGACGGACGGACGGACAGACAGACGGACAAGTGAGTGATTGCAAAAGCTCACCATGCAAGCTAAAAATTGGAGAACATAACAATATGTGGTGACAAAATAAGCTTTCAATCTCCGGTTGCCAAATTTATGAAGGGGAGTGTACATGAACTTCCTCTTCCCAGACAAATGCATTCACTGTGTCAGCTGTAAACATCAAGAATGTCACCAGGTAAATCATATTTTATTGCTGTATTCCAGGTACCATAAATGCACAAAGTTCCACATGTATCGAGAATGATTTCATATTCAAATACATGTATTTTGGGATTCCTGTCAAGAGTCAATAGCTTTATTTCTATGATCCTTTCACACGTAATATTATAGCTGCTATTAACATAAGCCCCCATCCCCAGCCTATCCCCACAAGGAATCCTCGCCACACGGGCATATATGTCAGATCCCAGCCTCTGCTTAGGACACAGCGCATGGCCTCAGCTGGATATGTCATTGGAAGTGCCATACTAACATAGCGCAACCATATAGGCATCGACTCCACTGGCCAAATGATACCTGGAGAAAAATACATTGTATAAGTTATAAGTTACTGATAAGTATAATACTGATAAGGCATTAACATGCAAAATGTCACTATGTGCCATTTGTTACAGACATCCACCACCATAAACCGAATACCATCTACAAAAAAGTTTTAGACAATAACAATATGTCATCACTTGTCGTTCCTTGGACTCTTTTTTCACAAGAGCCAGATAGATGAAAGGTTAGGGAGTAGTTTCCCCTCATTGACTGCATTGATTTAGGCTTCTAAGCCTTCATATATTCTAGATAGACATGTATAGACTAAAGGTTAGGGAGTATTTAACCCTCATTGACTGCATTGATTAGGCTTCTAATTATAAGCCTTCATATATTCCAATGTAGGATGTTTATACAAGTTACCCTCCCCTCCATAAGTTTGGCAACTGGATGTTTTAATTTGATATCATATTCAAATATTGGAAAATGTTTGTGTCTTAATTTTATTCCTTCATTACAATACTTGTAGTTCAGGAATTTATGTCAAGTTTGATGATTTAACCAAATATAAGCAGGATTTGATGAATGATTCAAAAGGGGGCTTCCAGTTTCCAGAATTATGGAGGGGAGTGTATGTTACAATACCCTGAATGTGCCAAAATAAACATTGGACTCACCACTCAGTAAGAGATTGGGGTAGACAGAACCAAGAGCAGCTTGGATCGCTGTGTTTTCTTCATCACATAATGTTGAGATTAAAAGACCTAATATACAAAAAAATTTAAATCATAAAAATGTATGAATATGATCGTCGTATTATTATCATGTAGAAACAATACACATCAACGTTATAACAAACCATTTTAACATATAATAACAAGGAAATGCTCTCACCTAGTGCCATACCAGTAAATCCTATAAATATTGTTAGTATTATAACCAGAATGACAGGTCCTCGAGACGGCACCTGCAAGGAATAATAGTAAAATGGTAATTTGATTTACAATTTGCAGAGCTCAAGGGGGTGGAGATCTGGAGTGAAATTAGTGAAACCAGTCTGATCCACACAGCTTTGGGACCAGCCAAAAGTGATCAGGGGGCCATTAACAGAAACTTCCTAAAGTTAGGATTTCTTAAAGTCCATTGTTCTCTAACTGTGATGTAATTATATCCATGGTTACAAAAAATTGATTTACGAATTCGAAAGTTTCTGTTAATGACCCTCAGGGGGGCATTATCGTAAACTTCCTAAAGTAAGGATTTCTTAAAGTCCATTGTTCTCTAACTGTGACGTCATTATATCCATAGTTACAACAATTGATGTACAAATTCGTAACTTTACGAAGTTTCTGTTAATGACCCTCAGATTAGCAGGTGTTCACATTCCAGGGTTCCTTCAACAAGTAGGTCAATGAGATAACAAATTTGGAACTGAGAAAAAGTGTTCACATTGAGAGATGTTTTTATTAGAGATGTGTTCAGATATACAGGTTTCACAGTACTTTTTTTTTATTTTGTTTAATCAAAGTGTCCCTATTGTTCTAATGTTACATTTAAATACACTAACCTCAAATACAACTAAGGCAAAGAGTAAAAGAAGACCAGCCTGCACCAGCATTATCCAGAACTGAGTACACACATGTGCAATCATTACTTCAACAGTGTTCACTCCTGTAAAACAAGGAACAACAATTTTACAGTTTACATAATCCAAAATTGGGTAAACACATGTGCAATCATTACTTCAACAGTGTTCACTCCTGTAAAACAAGGAACAACAATTTTACAGTTTACACAATCCAAAATTGGGTACACAAATGTGCAATCATTGCACACGGAACAACACTTTTACAGTTTACATAATCCAGAATTGGGTACACAAATGTGCAATCATTACTTCAACTGTGTTATCACTCCTGTAAAACAGGGAATACAATTTTACAGTTAATATAATCCAAAATTGGGTACACAAATCAGTTTACATAATCCAAAATTGGGTACACACATGCGCAATCATTACTTCAACAGTGTTCACTCCTGTAAAACAAGGAACAACAATATTGTAGAGTTTACATAATCCAGAACTGGGTACACTTGTGCAATCATTACTTCAACAGTGTTCACTCTTGTAAAACAAGGAACAACAATTTTACAGTTTACATAATCCAGAGCTGGGTAAATCCTGAACCCTTTTAGAGAACAAAAGAAACTATTATGGTATGTCTACCAGACTTATGAAGTCAAACTTCACAGTCAGCAACAAATAGTAAATAAAATTGTAAGTTTCTGAAAATTAGCTAAAACTTGATAACATTTTATGCCTCGAAACTGTAAGAATATACATGTAAGATAAAACAGGGACCTACACTGTAGCTAGAAAATGTCAAGGGGTAGTTGCCATATAATGCTTGCTTCGGCAACTTATTGAAAAATCTTTGTAGAAAATTACTATGATAATAAAAACAACAACAACAAAATGTCAAGGGGTGTGTGATTTTTTGGATTTGCAGTGCTGAGAGCAATGCAAAACCCAAAAGGGGGATACGGGGCTTCACCCCTGGAAATCTTTTAAAGGGTGACGCATATCATTTAGCAAATCAAACGCTCGTTTCTGGTGTTGCTCACCGTTTAGTATAAAAGGCCAGATCCCGGAATAATACTCAAGGGTTCACAGGTTCGAGGTCATTGTGTCAACACCTCTAACTGTTATATAGCATAAGTATATTATAGATCGTCACACATTTATATTTTTATTTTGACAAATCAATTCCACATTTATGGGTGAAGTTTCAGGATCTTCTATTTGTGTGTAATAAGGAGAAATTGGCATCTAAATTTCCCCATAACGTAATAGCACACAGCTTGGCATATGAAATATCCTACAAATGAAACAAAGCAAGACAAACCGGTTTCTAATACAAGGATTTATATTGGCTGTTGTACATGTACTGTATTCTTTGAATGCAATCACTCTTTGGATAACGTTTTCAAAATCATTATAAACGGATTACTTTATCTCAAAGACAATTTCAATAAACTGGATTTTACAGAACTCCCCTTATTTCTTAAAAATGGACTGATCCAGTTGATTCGCCTGGAGCCGCCATATTGTTTTTATACGGGATGCTAATCGGAACCCTTTAAAATCTACACTGGGTCTAGAGACTGGCGTAGGAACAACTGAAATCTTGTGAATCAAGATGGTATATGCTGCATTCTAAGAATTTCAAACTATAATATGTTATTGTTTTTTTCAACAAATTTTACAAAATTGCTTTTCCTTTTTTCTGTATCACACCTCCCACCTCACATTCCACCCCTATTGTTAAAATACATTTGGGGCAAGGACCTACACTGTACATCAACATTTAAAAGGAAAAAACTTTATTTGATATGGAAGTCACATATAAGAGTTTACAAATGTTTGTACACTCCTCTCAACTACAGTAGTTTGAAACCCCAAAATCTTCATTGATTGTGTCTGAATCTTTACTTTGTGCCTTATTACAATAATTCTGAAATTTATGACAAATGTGATTACTTTATTTTGAATTGCTTCACATAAACATGTTCTAGCACCATTTCAGAAGGGAATTTATAGTTGCCAAACTTATGGATGGACTGTATATAGAGTTATTACCTGCTACTAAGCTTCTGTCAAGAAGCCCCTGTTTTCCCTCCAATACAAATGAAAGTGTTGTCAGACCTGTTGCCATGAAGAAGGTGATGCTGAAATACAAATAGCAATGTTGTTAGACATGTTACCATGAAGAATGTGATCCTGAATACAAATAGCAAAGTTCTTAGGACATGTTGCCATGAAGGATGTGATGCTGAAACACAAATAGCAAAGTTGTTAGACATGTTACCATGCAGAATGCAAAACACAAATGACAGAAATGAAAGACCTGGCACATTGAAGAATGTGATTCCAAAGTTCAAATGACAAACCTTTCAGGCTTCTTTCATAAAAAGGACTTTGCTTAAAATTATTGACCGTTTTTCTTGTCATAATTTCTGGTTTTCATGCATTTTATCCCATATTTGTCTCTTACCTCAATATAATACCAGGTGCCATGAAGTTAGTGAATGCAGGTTTTCTTTCACCATACACTGGCTGTTCCAACTGGAAAGCAAAATAAAGTGAAAATTTAGCAAATTGGTTTAACTAATGTACCAATAACAGGTTTCTATTTAAGTAGACTTGTTCATAATTTATTGTTTTGTAATATTAGTTGTTTCAAAATGTTTCTGCAAATGCAAATGGTTACAAAATAGTAAAAATCTGTTCCAGACATAAAATATCACAGCTGACAACGAATTTCAGTCAAGAAACGGTGGCTACATGAATAAGTCACCAATTTTCATTAGTGAAATAAAGCACGGCCCATGTGATAGGTTGTGTTGTTATGGTTACCTTAACTGGCAGATCAATCATTGCAGGACTCAACCCTAAAGCAGGAAGCATGCTTTTTGCAAAGTCTTGGAATGCTTGTATGGTATACTCTTGTATGGTGACACTAATCTCAAGGTCTGCAAAAAAGATATGTGCATTTAAAAATGAAAATGGAGAAAAACAAGAAAATAGTAGCCAGAGGAGCAAAAGCATGGGTCTATTCTTGGAGTGCTCATATAGTTTGTGTGTCATAACGTTTGGACAAAGTGCCCAACTATAGAAAAATTTACCCCCTATAGTGTTATTTATTAAAATGTACCTATTCATACAGGGGTTTGATTAATCTACATAAAATAATAGGGAGTCATGTTTCTTTTCGAGGTACAGTATCAGTGTCCATTTATTGGAACTTGCATTTGCTAACATTTGCTCAGTTCTGAGATGAAGGCTGTGGCACGTGTAGTAAAAAGGGCAACGTTGGAACTATTCGTGACATACATCCCTATTTTCGCAATTAAAATGAAAATTGCACTCTTCCTCTTTATTTTGATACCAAATAATGGTATACTAGGCACTTGAGCAGCCAACTATGGTGTTATTTGGATCAAAATCACAGTTTTATAAAAGCACTGGGAGTTTGGCAGCACTTTTCAAATTAGGTAAACTTTACTCCTCAAAAGCGCAAAAAACTTAGCTTCTTATAAAACAAGATAATCACAATAATTTATCCTTAGGGATTGTTACAATTTTGAAAATCGCGGAGTTTAAAGCCACATTTGCAGGACATTGCGGGACATGCGAATTAGCCAAATTTTGATCAAATTCACGGGATAATCCCGCCATTCGCGGGAAACTTGACAGCTCTGCATGTTTGGATAAACAAATATACTTACTTGTCATGTCTAAGTACAGATGTACTGAACTGCCATCTATTATTTTCTCAGAAATGTTTGTTTTTGACATAAATCTAAAAATATAAGAGATCATTTCTTGCATTAAAATCATTTTCCTTATAACATAAATGGGGTCTCCAGGGGTAGGCACTGGGTGTGACCACAGGAGGATACTCAGATGAATGAACCATCTGGTCTGGGCACTGGGTGTGATTACAGGAGGATACTCAGATGAATGAATCATCTGGTCTGGGCACTGGGTTAGATTACAGGAGGATACTCAGATGAATGAACCATCTGGTCTGGGCACTGGTTGTGATTACAGGAGGATACTCAGATGAATGAACCATCTGGTCTGGGCACTGGGTGTGACCAAAGGAGAATACTCAGATGAATGAACTATCTGGTCTGGGCACTGGGTGTGATTACAGGAGGATACTCGGATGAATGAACCATCTGGTCTGGGCACTGGTTGTGATTACAGGAGGATACTCAGATGAATGAACTATCTGGTCTGGGCACTGGGCGTGATTACAGGAGGATACTCAGATGAATGAACCATCTGGTCTGGGCACTGGGTGTGATTACAGGAGGATACTCAGATCAATGAACCATCTGGTCTGGGCACTGGGAGTGATTACAGGAGGATACTCAGATGAATGAACCATCTGGTCTAGGCACTGGGTGTGATTACAGGAGGATACTCATATGAATGAACTCTCTGGTCTGGTGAGCGAGGAGAATCTAGACATCAAGTGCAAGCTATGATGATGGAGATGATGGTTTTTTGGATTTAGGTGCATCCTCCTTGGAAAAATGTGTAACATATTTTGCCACTGATCAGATTTTTTCTAAAACAAGTTGAACCAAGTTGATTTCTTCATTTTCAAACAAAATCCAGCATATTAAGAACTATTTCAGAATTCAATAACAGGTAAATTGTTAATAATAAATGAATACATATGCGGTACCTACCTTAGAACGAGGTCCTGAGTATAGTTTTGACTCATACTAATAACTCCCCATTTCTCTCCCCGCTTAACTGTGTCCAAGGCTGCTGATAAATCTGTGTAATTCTCCTGTCAAGAATCATAGAATAAATAAGATCATATATTAAAAAATAGCTCCAAAATAAAAAAATTTAATAACACATGGCTAATCAGATCTTCAAGTTGAATGAATAGGCAGTTTTCCTAAAATTTTAAGTTGTGCCTACTTGACATGCATTATAGCACTTTTGTTCCACAATAGAAAATTAAATATAAATCATAGGATACATTCTACTTAAGTAATATGATTAGTTAAAAACAATGAAAAGAGTTGCTATCATTTTATTCTACAATCAAATCCAAGAGTACTTTAAAGAATCATTATATATAACTAAATTGTTCTCATGTATACTGTTGGAATAAAATAAACTGGAGTGGCAACTCCTTCGTGTACATGAGTTGCCCTTGTTTAATATTTAGAGGTTATGTCACTATCGTTGCATATATGCCCGAGGGTTTCAGTGATATATGGCCCGAGGGTTTCAGTGATATATGGCCCGACCTTGGGAGGGACATTGATCATTGAGAACAGAGGGCATATGTGCAACTATAGTGACATAAACGATTTATAACATACCTATGATGATCTAGTCTGGTCAGAGAGTACCGTTTTCTTATCTAATTGACTAGCAATGGTTTGGAAATGATGATTCATTCCCATGTTTGAATCTTACGAATGTACAAGTCAATTTGACCTAGGCCTAATGTATGACGTAGTCCCAGCGCTTGACCAATCAGAAAGTTAGCGGGCGCGGGCTTTTCAAAAGTTATATTGGCCCGCTGTCTTGTGAACAGTTTACACTATACATCATCATAGGTATGTTATAATCCCAGATATCATATTCATTCTGCTAAACAATCATTTATCATTCATTCGTTAAATCATTCCTCCATTTTCTAATCTACTAAATTGAAGGCCTTCTATGCATACTTTCAACATTCTTTGGTAAAATATGTAGACTTATCTTTTGACTTCATAGCATTTCCAGTGAATTAATAAGTACTTTATATTTTATTTGACACCAAAAACAGCTCAAACAGACCACATCAAAGCTAATTACAATAAATTACCAAAAAATATTTTCAAAAGTAATTTTCTGAAGAAAGCATAGTGCCCTTTAAGGGCAGTGCCCAAGGTTGACTAAATTTGTGTAATGAGTCTAAAGTTAAAACATGACAAGAAATACTGCAAATAAATTTCAACTTCATTCATTTACTGATGCCGCCTATCATAGAATCTAGAATCTTGAGTTTTTATGTCACTATATTCAATTATGTCTGATAAATACCAATAACTATAATACAAAGTTACCAAAAAAATTTTCAAAGGAAATTAAAAAGGCATACCTGTATAATAGTATTATTATTTAGAAATTTCAGGTATTCAGCTCCTAATGGACCAGTATCCTTATTTACTACTGCCATGTTTAAACCATAAGGTTCCCGTCCTATACACAAACAGAATAAGATAATCTGGATGGCAGGCAACATAAACGAGAACAAGAGAAATCTGAAAAAATCAAAATACAATTGTGTATTAAAAAGAGAACAGAGGACATGTAGTAACAGATAATTTTAGAAAAAATTGTGATTTTCTGATTTATTCAATTTTTAAAAGACTGAAATTGCACTGCAATAGGTGTTTTTTGGCAATAGCCAGAATAAAATTTTCGGCAACAGATTTACCAGAATTCATAGAATTGAAGATTTTGTTGCAATTCTAAAATTATAGAAATCTACCACCTTAAAGTGTGCGCCAAAATTTAAAACTGCGCAGGCGCAGTGCTCTCGCTAACCTATATAAAGAGATTACAGGGTACAGGCTTCAGAGGTAAGCCAGGAAGGTGTACAACTATCGTCCCGTGTTGATTTCCCTATAATCGTAACCAGGCGAGTTTCAAGATTGGAATTGAAAATAACTATTAGATATACTTTGTAGATGTTTATATATGAAGGTATTAAGTGTATGCATCAATCAAATGGCTCATTTTGAACATATAAAAAGTATTTGTGTTTTGTTTCCCAGGGAATTGTATTCCCATGTGGTACACACATTAATAGTGTACATTATGTTGTACTTGAATTGCCTGGCTTATATAATATTGAAGGGCATGCTAATTGTACACACGAGTACATGCATGAAGCCTAATATTGATATTGCTTGCATACCTAAGTAAAAAATAAACTCTTCTAATCCCCTAATGTAAACACGGCGGTATACGTAGCCCGATTTATCGGGGGCTTTAACAGAAATTTAAGCTAAGTTCAACAATAACTAACCCTATATTTCTAGAGAGCACAGTGATATTTTTGATGAATATTGCCCAGATGTTCCCAAGGCTAATACAGGTACAGAGTCCAAGCATAAACTCAGCAAAACAAGACTGCCTCTCTGAAATCAAACAAATGGACATAATTTTCAATACAGTAAAAGCTCTAGCAGTCTAATCTGAACATCTCTGGAACCCGCAAAAAGTGTTTGGATTAGCAGGTGTTCACATTTTAAGGAATCTTCAACATGTAGATCAATGAGAAATTTGAGACCAAGAAATAGTGTTCACATTGAGAGGTACATGTATTTCAATCAAAGAGCTGTTCTTATATACAGGTTTCACTGTATAACTATCAAATTGGGACCACAATTGCAATATGTGAACTCTGTAATTGTACCTAAGATTGAGCTGAGATACTGAGATGTTGTCAATTTTAGAAATTCTCAATAATTCTGAAAAAAGTGATAACAGAAAATCAAAAGATTTATCAATTCATTATTAAAATTTATTAAAACAAATAAAACTATAATTATTTGTATACTCATCGACTCATACAACTAACAAAATATATTCATAAAATTATTAAATTTTCATTTTTAAATTTATGTCAAAAAGTTATTTAATGTCCATTATCAAAATACCTTTTATCACGACAGGTGTGTCCAGTTGTGATTCTCCATGGATAGGTGGCGCGTCCAACAGGTGAGATAACTCTTCTGAAGATTGAGCATCTCTCTGGTATCTCTATAATTCATTTTATTTTTATTTTATGCATATACGACTGATTATTGTTATTCATGTTAGTCAAATTCAATATATAGTATCCAACAGTGCAATAGACCAATGAAAAACTTGTAGCTCTTGGTCACATTTCCTCTTATTAAGCACTTTTTTGCCGCTTGGTCTTTCCATCACCATCGCTCAGCATGCAACCCTTTGACAAGTAAAATTTCATGATAGCATTTGACACAACTATTTCGAAGGATCTAATCAAGGAAATATATGAAGTTGGGGATTTGTAATGTTTACTTCATTTTGAACACACTAGTAGTTATTGAACAGTATGATCGGGTGAAACGCGTGTCCTTTGACAGGAAGCTTCGGCTCAAGACCTTGCTCTCCGTCTGAACTGCAAAATCAAGGGAAAAGTGACCCAGAGCTCAAGTACTTTACTGGCCTTAAATGCACTGTAATAATATTGAATATAACTAACATGAATAACAACAATCAGCCATTCATAAATATGGCAACAAATGCTTCTGAAAAGACTTTAGGCAGCTGAAAATTCAATAGCTTGACAAGATTTAAAATGACATTTAAAGTTCAATTGTTCAAGCAAAACCTGTATTTTATTGATAGTGGGGTGTTTTTGAAAAAAGTCTATGGAAATCATAAGATTAGGAACTTTGACAAGATATTCAATTTCTATGTTGGAAATTGCCTCTAAAATAAATCTTGAAAATTTCAATGATAATGATTGTTCCATTGCAAATCTACAGCGTAAAAGCATGACTGCATCTTTGAACCTGTCCGGGGTACTATACTGAATGTGTATAGTTACATTGGTAGGGTTGCAGGACTTTTTTGTTGTTGTTTTGTTTTTGTTTTTTTTACCATTCTATTGTTATCCATAGTGGATTAGTTAGTTAGTTTAACATGTTCAGCTATAGGGTCATGCTGCCACCGTTTTTTAACCCTTTCACGACGTGAATATAAGAGGAAAATGTTGGCCTGGTGACAGAGCGGAGTTTAAGTTCTTGTATTTGATGATTGGTCAGTTGCTGCATTACATCAGAATTGTAATGGTGGCAGCATAGGCCTACACTTCAGTCTGTGGCAAAGGTCATTTTAAAGTCTGCTCTTTGTGTAATATACCCAGGGATGAAAATTGAGTTTTTTTGGTTTAAAATTAAAATTATCAATAACAGATGTCACTACCACAAACATCAAAGCAACAATGTCTTCCATCTAAAACTAATCACTTTCTGGCCAGTCTTCTTGAAGTAATGACATAGCGGAAGATGATCGAGACAAATATCTTTATTTTCCAAGTCACCAGAAACCTCTGGACAACCTTTTCCCTGAATCCTAAATTACTTCATCAATTGGTAACATACAGTATCATTTTCATATGCAGTAATCTAGTCTGATTTTGGATACCAGTTCCATTTTCAACTTGAACAGAAATATCAGAAGTTTTATTCTATAAAGTATAACTAGAATCACTGTAAAACCAAAATTGTCAAAATTCCTTTCAGATCATTCAGTTTGCTAACAATTCTGCTTTTTTGATCTATCATGAATTTCATGATTTATAATCCACAAATGTTCAATAATCAATAATTGTATTTCATGTTTCACATCAGATTGAAAATTGCATCATCAATGGTTCTATTGTTGCATATGTTTTTTGTGTAATATTATATTTATTGGATTACATTAATAGCTATCAGCTAATACAAAATGTTTTCCATACACATTGTTTAATGTTATCTCTGGTAAAAAGGGGGGGGGTGTGCAGCATTGGGAGACATAAAATCATTTTTAAAATCTTTGTGAATTAATGAAATATCGATGGAGTTCTTCGAATAATAATTTGTTTTCCTCGTCAGAAAAAGAAGTACTCCCATTAAGAATAATGTTAACTTTTTCACGATTTGTTGACAAACTAATCAAGGGTTTGTTAAAGCATATGGCAGCCCCGGAGATATCTATCCCCCTGACAACCCTTTTTAACTTTTCTCTAATGACAGGGAAAATACCTGATCAGTGGAGGAAGGCTAAAGTTACGCCAATCTATAAAGATGGCCCCAATTTGAATACTTCAAACTACAGACCAATATCTGTTCTACCAGTCTGTCTAAAAGTTTTTTAAAAATTTGTACACAATCAATTATATACTTACCTGACTGACAATAATATCTTAGCTGTTCATCAATTTGGTTTCAGGCCCAAACATTCCATGCAGACCGCACTTGTAAATGTTACTGATTATATACTTAACAACACCCAAAATGGGCTTTTAACGGGTGTAGTATATCTTGATTTGAAAAAAGCCTTTGACACCGTCGATGTATACTTAATGCTCATGAAAATGCAAAACATCGGTGTCAGAGACAAAGAATTGTCTTGGTTCAGCAGTTATCTCATTGGTCGAAGTCAATGTGTAAGTATAAATGGCAAAGTGTCATCTTCATTACCAGTCGAGTATGGAGTACCTCAGGGCTCTGTACTCGGACCTCTGCTTTTTATTCTCTGCATAAACGACCTCCAAAATCAAATTAAAGACTCCAAAGTCACACTCTATGCAGATGACACTGCCATATTTTACCATACCAAAGATATTCACTCTATTAAAGCAAAGTTAACAGCTGACATGAATGTGGTACACAAATGGCTGTGCTCAAATAAATTAACATTAAATGTCAAGAAGACCAAATTCATGGTGTATGGGTCATCCAAGAAACTGTCAAAGGTAGATGAAAGTGACGACATAGTCATGAATGGAGAAAAAATTGAACAAGTCAATGCTTTCAAATATCTTGGTTTGTGGTTTGATCCAACACTCACTTGGAAAAACACATATAACCAAAACTTGTACAAAATTGTCACAAAGGTTAGGGGTCATTGGGAGAGTGAGAGATTCTCTTACCCTCAAAACAACCAAACTTTTAATCCAATCTACCATCACACCCATTTTTGATTATGGTGATGCTTTCATCTCTGGATGCAGCTCACAACTCTAATAAAATATAAGAGATTCCAATACCATGCTGGTAGATTGATAGTTAAATGTGCCCCACATACACCATCCCAGGATGTTAGAAATACTCTGAAGTGGCCATCCATAAGAGAGAGGCAGGACATGCACAACCTGACACTAATGTATAAGGTAGTGAATGGACTGGTTCCCACTTATATGCAGGACAGTTTTACCTTAACTAAGGACACTCACAACTATGGTACTCGTGCTACTACTAACAAATGTATTCTTATTAAACAAAATTGTAATAATGCAGGCACACAAACTTTTAGTCACAGAGCATCTGTTCTCTGGAACAAGGCACCTTTAGATTTAAAGGAATCTGCTTCAGTGCAATCTTTTAAAGTTCATCTAAAAAAGCAATTCCTTGCCTCAATTAGTGAATAATTGTAATTTTACATGTCTTAATATGCTCAAATGTAAGTGTGACAATAAATTTTAAGTGCTTATTTTTTATAGACTGGTCATATACTATTTTTACACATATTAATGTACTGTTTTTACAAATTTCTAATTTCATGATATGTATTGTCACATATTTTATTGTTAATTGTTATGTGTATGTATGCATGATTGTTTCATTACTATTTACGCAGAGGGGACAACTTGGAGCGTCGATCAACCTCATGGAAAATACACACGGTGAACAATATCGCACCCTTGAACAGAAATGGCCGTCTTAACATTTATCCAGAATGTCAAAAAACTAATCAGTTCTAAACTTTCATAGGTAGAAACATCCCTGGGAATTTCAAATGAATCCCTCAAACGGTTTGGCTGGAAACCTGTAGACAAGCCTTGACAGACAAGATTTTAGGACGGAAAATCCAAAATGGCCACCTTAACATTTACCCAGAATGCCGAAAAACTAATCAGTTCTAAACTTTCATAGGTAGAAACATCCCTGAGAATTTCAAATGAATCCATCAAACGGTTTGGCTGGAAACCTGTAGACAAGCCTTGACAGACAAGATTTTAGGACGGAAAATCCAAAATGGCCGCCTTTACATTTACCCAGAATGCCGAAAAACTAATCAAGTCTAAACATTCATAGGTACAAACATCCCTGAGAATTTCAAATGAATCCCTCAAACGGTTTGGCTGGAAACCTGTAGACAAGCCTTGACAGACAAGATTTTAGGACGGAAAATCCAAAATGGCCGCCTTAACATTTACCCAGATGCCCGCCCGCCCAAACGCCCGCCCGCCCGCCCAATCGCCCGCCCGCCCAATCGCCCGCCCGGCAAACTGATTACAATATAGCACCTGAGGGTGCGATAATAAATGCAAATTCAGTTGCGTGAGGCCTAATCTAAACCGCGCATGGATTATATTAACTTTGCGGTCGCTGCAATAATACAGTTTCTGAAACCTTTTATTTTGATTAAACAAATGTCTCTTCAATTCAAATTTGAAAAGATTACAAGAACACAAATGTGTACAAAATGTCCCCACCTATGGGTGATCCCATCAAATGGTTATCCTAAAAATGAGTAGACAAGACTTTAACGACACAATTTGAGGAGGGAAAATCCAATATGGCCACCTTAAAATTTACCCAGAATGCCCAAAAATTAGTCAGTTCTAGATTTTCATACTAAGAGGCACCCCTGAAAATTTGAAATTGATCCGTCACACAGTTAACCAGAAAACATGTAAACAAGACTTTAGAGACAACATTTGAGGACCGAAAATCCAAAATGGCTGCCTTGACATTTATCCAGAATGCCAAAAAACTAATCTGTTCTAGATTTTTATACTAAGAATCATCCCTGAAAATTTGAAATTGATCTACCAAACGGTTCACCTGGAAATGCGTAGACAAAACTTTACAAACAAGATTTTAGGACAGAAAATCCAAAATGGCTGCCTTGACATTTACCCAGAATGCCCAAAAACTAATCAGATCTAGATTTTCATACTAAGAATCATCCCTGAAAATTTGAAATTGATCTACCTAAAGGTTCACCTAAAAACGCGTAGACAAGACTTTACGGGCAAGATTTTAAGACGGAAAATCCAAAATGGCTGCCTTGACATTTATCCTGAATGCATAAAAACTAATGAGATCTAGATTTTCATATTAAGAATCATCCCTGAAAATTTGAAATTGATCTACCAAACAGTTCACCTGGAAATGTGTAGACAATACTTTACAGACGAGATTTTAGGACAGAAAATCCAAAATGGCTGCCTTGACATTTACCCAGAATGCCCAAAAACTAATCAGATCTAGATTTTCATACTAAGAATCATCCCTGAAAACTTGAAATTGATCTACCAAACGGATCACCTTAAAACGCGTAGACAAGACTTTACGGGCAAGATTTTAAGACGGAAAATCCAAAATGGCTGCCTTGACATTTATCCAGAATGCATAAAAACTAATGAGATCTAGATTTTCATACTGAGAATCATCCCTAAAAATTTCAAATTGATCTACCAAACGGTTCACCTGGAAATGCGTAGACAAGACTTTACAGACAAGATTTGAGGACGGAAAATCCAAAATGGCTGCCATGACATTTACCTAGAATGCCCAAAAACTAATCAGATCTAGTATTTCATACTGGGAATCATCCCTGAAAATTTGAAATTGATCTACCAAATGGTTCACCTGAAAACAAGTAGACAAGACTTTACTGACAAGATTTAAGGACGGAAAATCCAAAATGGCTGCCTTGACATTTACCCAGAATGCCCAAAAACTAATCAGATCTAGATTTCATACTAAGAATCATCCCTGAAAATTTGAAATTGATCCACCAAACGGTTCACCTGAAAACGTGTAGACTAGACTTTACACATGAGATTTTAGGACCGAAAAATCCAAAATGGCCGACAATAAAAAAGTGATTATGAGTTTTTGCTAATTTCTTTCAACAAAATTATCACATATAACTACTGTTAACAATAACATAGGCTTTTACAACAAAATACACCTGAAATTATTTATAAAGCTACTAAATAGTTTCAGTATGAAAACTGAATAACACCATTCAATATGATACAAAGTATTATCGTGCGCTAACTTTTCTTAAAACATTCAAAATGGCTGACATGACTGAGCTTACAGGTCCAAAACCTAATCAGATCTAGAATGAAGTGAGCTGAACAAGATGTTAAAGTTTTAAATGCAACTGTGAAGCCGTTTTTCTTACAGTTTGCAGACAAGGATTTTAGCATTTGACTTCAAAATGGCCGACAGGAAGTTGGTATCGAGTTAATTTTTCTTTATCCACATCTGTATGCACTCATAAGTTATACCTGAAAATTTGAAGGTGATATCTGTAGCGGTTTTGGAGAAAACTGCCGGACGTGCGGACAAACGGACAGACAGACGGACAGACAGACGGACAGACAGACAGACAGACGGACAGACAGACGGACGGACGGACGCGCCTAGGCCGACAATATGGCCCCACACTATGTGGGTGGGACATAAAAAGTGGTCTTATCTTTAATTGCCTTTGGAAGATCATTCCACATCCACGTGTTGCAGTACTGTCAACCCCCAAAGATTTTCTCGCGGGACAGATTTTTTAGACCCAGTGCCAAAACTTCGCGGGATTTCGCGGGACATCCACCTAAATTCGCGGGATTTCGCTGGACATTTAAGCGATTTGCGTGATTGCGCTAATAGGTCCAATTTTGATCAAATTCGCAGGATTTCGCGGGACCATTCGAGGGACAAACACGCTAATTGCGGGACAGTTAACAGGGTTACCACCAAAGACTTCATAGAGGGACAGATTTTTTTAGACAAAGTGCCCTAAATTCGCGGGATTTTGCGGGACATCCACCTAAATTTGCGGGGTGTCGCAAGACATTCTTGAAAGGGATTTACGTGATTGGGGCTTAATGTAAAAGTTCTCAAATCAAACTTTCAGATACTTATTTATCAAATATAATGCACTTAACTTATAAGTAAACGTCAACACAATTCCACACAATACGCATAGAAATATTATTAAACTACAGGGTGGTCAAAAATATGGAAACCTTAATACCATTTTCCTCATATCTTTGTCATTTTAAAAAATAACTCCCTGATATTTTACACTTTTGTACATCATTCAATTTGCTTCCAGCCTAATTTATTTCACGACCATTAGATTGATAGTCACAATGTTACAGTACTCTAAAGAACATGCCCAGTGGCCACTATTGGGTTGTGAGGAAACTTGACTCATCGTCTAAAATGTCCCTACCTGTGGGGATATGGCAGAGATACATGTAGAGTATATGAGAATGACCTCAGGACAATTGCAAACCTCAAAAGTGAGATCATTTGTGTCATTCAGGCCATACCTGCTGAGGAATGCATTCGGCTCATTGACAACTGTGCTGTTATGCCTACAGCGCGATAATGGCCAAATCTGAAGCATGTTATTCTAAGTGCTGTAAAATTGTGTCTATCCGATGGTCATGAAATATGGTAGGGTCGTAGAAAATTGAATGATGTACAAATGTGTGAAATATCAGGGAGTAATTTCCTAAAGTGAAAAAGATATAAGGAAAATGCAGGGTTTCCATTTTTTGACCACCCTGTATCAAAAAACCACGCTTTAGTTGTGAGTACCGTAATCCAACACGAAATTAAAAAAATCTGAACAATACTTTGCACTTATGGTGTTCGTGACCAACTATGAAACATTTACTCCCCCATAGTGTTACATATTAAAATGTACCTATTCATATTGGGGTTCGATTAATCTACATCAAATTATAGGGAGTCAGGTTTCTTTTCGAGATATCAGTGTCCATTTATTGGAACTCGCGTTTGCTAACATTTGCTCAGTTTTTAGATGAAGACCGTGACACGCTTAGTAAAATGGCCAACGTTGGAACTATACGTGACATACATCCCTATTTTCGTAATTAAAATGAAAATTGCACTCTTCCTCTTTATTTTGATACCAAATAACGGCTTACTTGGTACTTGAGAAGTCAACTATATGGTGTTATTTGGATCAAAATCATAGTTTTATAAATGGACTATATGCTCTTTTCAAAAGCAGTCTTCGATGATCTGATGCACTGGGAGTTTGGCAGCACTTTTCAAATAAGGTAAACTTTACTCCTCGATCAAAAGCGCAAAAACTTAGCTTCTTATATTACAAGATAATCACAATTATTTAGCCTCGGGGATTGTTACAATTTTGAAAATTCGCGGAGGTCAAAGCCGACATTTGCGGGACTTCGCGGGACATTGCGGAACACGCGAATTAGCCAAATTTTGATCAAATTCGCGGGATAATCCCGCCATTCGCGGGACACTTGACAGCTCTGCGTATTGCATATGTCACATATGGTTTTGATATGTGAATGACATATTCTATTGATTTGTTCTATTGTTGTTGTTGATCAATTAATTGATCAAATGTGATTGATCGCTCCACTAAATTATGACAATTGGGTAATTTTTTAATATTGATTATCCAATGTGAAATCATAATCCAATTAAAAATTTTAAGTAATGCAAATATGATGCTTTTCATTTCAATTCAATTGCCTTAATATTGAGAAGGTGACACTGACTACTGATTGAAGTTGCATGTATTCTTGCAAGACTGAGTATGAATTACATCTTATGTGCCTGGGTCACATTTGCTCCGATCCATCGGCCGGCGCCCGGCTTGTTCAATATTGTATTCAATTTTGAACAAAATACTCAATCAGCCAGGTGCCGTAGTGAAAATTGGAGCAACTGTGACCAAGGCATTACACTTTTTTTTTACATATGATAGGGTAGTTCAACGGACATAGTCCACCTATCAGTTGTTTTAGACCCAACTTGTATAATTATGAATAACATCTAATTGCACTTCCAATGTGCATTTTATCTGCAACATACGCTGTCTTGTGTTATAATCTTTATATGTAACGAGCAAGTACCAAACAGCAATATGAGCGGATGTATCATAAATATAGGTAATTCACAAAAGGAACCAAATGATACTAGTTTGGAAAACAGAGATATATAACATTTATACAATGATCTATGCAAAAAGAAAATAAATTCCTCATGGATTTGTAAGAAAAAAGCATCACAGTTCAGCTGCATAATGTGTTTTGAATGACAATCCAATAATTCATATCATCGTATGATTAACCTCAGTCCTTGGATTAACTTTTCAGATGGTTACATCATTGCAACAAGATGTTGAAGAACTCGGGCCAATAATTAAGAAATATAGACCGAAGAGCAAGGGTTATATTGTCAAATACACCCCGCAGGGGAACGACCGAAGGGAGTGAGGGGTTCGAAAGCTTTTGTGCCTAGCCTTAAGGGGTGTATTCGACGATATTACCCCTGCTCTGAGGTCTATATTACGATTCGAACATGAAAACTAACCAAAATGTTTCGAATATTCACTATGGTCCGCCATTACTACGACCCGCCGTTAAAACGTCACACATTACACGTATTACCAGGGGTATTCTTCACGAATATACCTCGAGCGAAATGGTGGCTTTGTTTACAGACTATAGAAGGCATGAATACAGTCATGTTCGAATATTCATTAGGGCATACCCACCTTAATCTAATATGAATCACTTACTAATTACCTGATTCAGCAAATTAAATTTTAATTAAATTTATACGTGGATTGATCCCCTAAGGAAGGACAAATCCTACTATGGATAGCCCTATTCAGGCTCCATGGCCTGAGATACGGGAAAATATATTTTTGGATTTTCTTTCATAATGACTATTTAGTCATTCAAACCACATCAAACAAACACAATTTCTCTAATAATGATGCAAATATACACCTATAAAATCGGTGAAACTCAGATCTGGAGGACTGGCTATACTCATTTATAAAGAATCACTTCTCCTCAGTGTTCTTCATTCCAATATCATTGATCACTATATTCTACACATGTTCTCAAACAACATGTGAGCTATAACAATCCCCACATGTCCGATAGATTTGTGTGTATGTTTGACTTTCTTTGTACAGATATAATGTATAGTACATACATTCTCACTGGACCTTATACTCGAGGGGGTTAACTGATTTATGAAGTCAACGCCAAGGTCCTTGGTGAGTGACTCAGTAAGAGCATTTGCAACAGCAATTCTAAAGTCATTCCTCTCATGGTGTCCTTGAGTCATGTAATTTGGTTTATGAGGCCATGCTGGATTACCAAACCAGATGATACGTGTATTGCTCCATGTTGGATTTTGGCGATATTTTCTTAAAAGTGGCACAAGTAAGGTTTGAATAGAATTGAGATAGTCAGACAATGTCCCTTTGTACATATCCCAAGCTCCATTATCAAAAATTATAGTACTGTAACGTTGATCTCCAGTTTGATCCACAGCTGGTTTAATATTTTGAAGTGTTGGATTATAATCTTTAAGCAGATTTTGTGAAACTTCACGCACACTGGTTGACCAATGAAAGTAAAGATGATTATTATCAAATGTCCAATTTCTGAGAGTTTCATTATAAACTGATTTATTTTCAATCAGATGTTTAAAATAAGTCATTGTATTAAGGAGATGAGAGTCTCCGTAGCAATTTATGTTTCTTAATTTTTGAAAACAAGTTCTGAGCTCTGTCGGGGTCAACATCTTTGAAATACACTTTGAGTGCAATCCCCATTTTAAACTTCCATCGTGTAATATCCATCTCCCATGTTTAGAAAGGAATCTTGGATCTCTCACGCACTGAACCTTATTTATCATATCAGTCTCGAATTGTTCATGCGGCAGCTGATCCCCATTATTAAGTCGGCAATTCTTTATTTGAGCAAGAATCAATGAAAATGGTCGAATTGTTGGTATATCAAGGAATGCCCCATAAGAAGTGTATACCAATGCAACAGTAATGTTACTACATGGTGGTACAAAGGGACAACATACATGATATATCCCATTGAAATTATCCTTCACATTACACATAAAACTATGGACACCCTGTACAAGAATCCGAAAGCTGCTACCTCCATACGTTGGTTTTCCCAAAAAAGTTTCCAAGATCTTCATATAAACATTATGACGGAAACTATCATATGACCACTGTATGTTATACTCGAATCTCTTTGAATTGTATAAACGCGGTCCAAGGATATTGGACATAAATTTCAAACTCTTGTTATTAAATCGTTGACTCGTGTTTATTCCAGCGAGATCATACATATGTTCTATCTGTAATAGGATCAGGTCATCAGAATGGGTGTCACAGATATTTTGAAAGTCTAAGACTGTATACTTCTGTTGGTTTGTTGTAATGTTTCCCCATGCATTAATTATTTGCTCAAAGTGTTCTTTTAACATTATCTTCTCCGATGTTTTAGGATTTTCTCTTGATGCTTGATTCATCCCTGATGTTTTAACTGCTCCAAAATTGCCTTTAGTATCTACATGCGCTTTGGGAGGTGGAGGAAATAATTCTATTTCTGGTTTTACGCCTGTATTTTCCCATTTTATCTGAGCGGCCAGTGAGGTAGATTCTTTCAGTTCTTGAACTAGCCGAGGTGCTATGCTTAATAAGTATAAAGTCCCAATGACAATGATAATGATAAAAATGATAAGGAATTTGGCTCGGAAGATATTCATAATGTTTCCAGTAAGTTCAAAATGACAAGTTACATGTACCAGTTAGCTTCAATTATTCATTCAATAAAATCTGCTGTGAATGTCACTTCTATTTTCACTTGATTGTGTCAATTATGATGCAAGTTGCAAAATGTTCAAACATACCAGGTGTCACTGAGAGTGAATCAGCCTATAGTATTCCAACACGTTTATTTTTGGGTAGATGAATGGAAATTATTTCAGAGTGCATTTAATTTTTCATAATGAACTGGCTGGGCAATGTTATTCATAAAAATGGGTGATCCCATATCATCAATCTGATAATTTTAGTCAATGCAATGATTTTCCTACAAGTTGTTTTGTAATTTTTCTGCAGTCTTCTGTATCAATCAATATAACAATTTAATAAATGAAACATTCTAAATAGTTTCCATAGGTAGATCATTTGAAACTCAACACACCTACATCGAAAACATGAACCAGTCCATGTGTAGGCTCAGTCTGTAACACGACACATGTAACATGTTTCTAATTTTATGGCCATATCATGATTTTGATAAAAGAATATCAACTAGACAACAGCAACACCAAAGCGTAGCAAATCCCATCGAACAGCCATGTCTGGCATTTTAACAAACGAAGCATATGAGAAAAATCGTAAAATAACACACAAAAATGGCCACCATTTTTAAAATGGTTGCTCACTAGCCAAATTGTCATCAGAAAGTGTAATATGCTTAGAGGTACATGTAGGCACATATAGAATTTCAATAAAATTGCACACAATTACATGTAAATGGCAGCCATTTTTCAAAATGGCTACTAGCCAAAATGTCGTAAGAAAATGTGCCATGCTTATGAGTATTATATATCAAATATGAATTTTGAGCGACAGTGTATAGTAAAAATGAAGTAAAATAACACATATGCATGGAGGCCATGCGAATGGTGGCTGTTTCAAAATGGCCACCTATTCCCAAAAGTGTCATTATACAGTGTGCTTCTGAAATATCTTACTTCTAGCTTTATTATAATGTCCTATATAATTTTTTCTTTACATTTAAAACATATCGCTATAACAATTTTATATATTGTACCTAAGTTACTGTAAAATTGGCGCTAAAATTTTTGAACAATTAAGTGGCCATTTTGAAAGTCTGCTTTCGAGCAGAACTTCTGGCTCCATAGGGCATATGTTTACAAAATATGAACAAAATCGAGCCAATGGTATTTGAGTAATATAAGTATAAGGGCAAGATATTATCAGTGACAGGTTTTGAAATAAACTTAAAACACATATTTTTATTTATTTTTTTCTATAACTATTATTATACAGTAGTGTGATTATATTCTCCACACTTAATATTGGAACTAAAAGCTAAATAAAATGTTTTGTTTACTTCAGACCCTTATGAGCTCTTGCATCTGTAAAAATTTCAAATTGAATTTATGACTTATGTGGCACCCCCACCCAGACAGACACGGACACACATGGCCAACAGCACAAATCAAGTCATTTTAGTGCAAATTGTTTATATTTCTAATAAGCCAGAGCTGTCAAATGTCCCGCGAATGACGGGATTATCCCGCGAATTTGATCAAAATTTGGCTAATTCGCGTGTCCCGAAATGTCCCGCGAAGTCCCGCGAATGTCGGCTTTGACCTCCGCGAATTTTCAAAATTGTAACAATCCCCGAGGCCAAATAATTTTGATTATCTTGTGATTAAGAAGCTAAGTTTTTGCGCTTTTGAGGAGTAAAGTTTACCTAATTTGAAAAGTGCTGCCAAACTCCCAGTGCATCAGATCATCGAAGACTGCTTTTGAAAAGAGCATATAGTCCATTTATAAAACTGTGATTCTGATCCAAATAACACCATACTGTAGTTGGCTTCCCTAGTATGCCGTTATTTGGTATCAAAATAAAGAAGAAGAGTGCAATTTTCATTTTAATTACGAAAATAGGGATGTTTGTCACGTATAGTTCCAACGTTGGCCTTTTTACTACGCGTGTCATGGCCTTCATCTAAGAACTGAGCAAATGTTAGCAAACGCGAGTTCCAATAAATGGACACTGATATCTCGAAAAGAAACCTGACTCCCTATAATATTTATATATTTTGATGTAGATTAATCAAACCCCAATATGAATAGGTACATTTTAATATGTAACACTATGGGGGGTAAATCTTTCATAGTTGGTCACGAACACCATAAGTGCAAAGTATTGTTCAGAGTTTTTGAATTTCATGTTGGATTACGGTACTCACAAATAAAGCATGGTTTTTTGATACCGGTGGTCAAAAATGGAAACCCTGCATTTTCCTTATATCTTTGTCACTTTAAGGAATTACTCCCTGATATTTCACACATTTGTACATCATTAAATTTTCTACCACCCTACCATATTTCATGACCATCGGACTGATAGACACAATTTTACAGCATTTAGAATAACATGCTTCAGATTTGGCCATTGCAGTTGTCAATAATCCAAACGCATTCCTCAGCAGGTATGGCCTGAATGACACAAATGATCTCACTTTTGAGATTTGCAATTGTCCCGAGGTCATTCTCATATACTCTATCTCTGCCATATCCCGACAGGTAGGGACATTTTAAACGATGAGTCAAGTTTCCTCACAACCCAATAGTGGCCACTGGGCATGTTCTTTAGAGTACTGTAACATTGTGACTATCAATATGATGGTCGTGAAATAACTTAGGCTGGAAGCAAATTGAATGATGTACAAAAGTGTAAAATATCAGGGAGTTAGTTTTTAAAATGACAAAGATATTAGCAAAATGGTATTAGGATTTCCATATTTTTGACCATCCCGTAGTTTAATAATATTTCTATGTGTATTGTGTGGAATTGTGTTGACGTTTACTTAAGTTAAGTGCATTATATTTGATAAATCAGTATCTGAAAGTTTGATTTGAGAACTTTTACATTAAGCCCCAATCACGTAAATCCCTTTCAAGAATGTCCTGCAACATCCCGCAAATTTAGGTGGATGTCCCGCAAAATCCCGCGAATTTAGGGCACTTTGTCTAAAAAGATCTGTCCCTCTATGAAGTCTTTGGTGGTAACCCTGTTAACTTTCCCGCAATTAGCATGTTTGTCCCTCGAATTGTCCCGCAAAATCTCGCGAATTTGATCAAAATATGACCTATTACCGCAATCACGCAAATCCCTTAAATGTCCCGCGAAATACCGCAAATTTAGGTGGATGTCCCGTGAAATCCAGCGAATATTTGGCACTGGGTCTAAAAAATCTGTCCTGCGAGAAAATCTTTGGGGGTTGACAGTACTGAATAAGCAGACATATGAAAAATAGGGGTTTCTCCTACCCTAGCCTCGTTCTGAGATGTGACCTTGAACTTTACACTGAACAAACAAAAATTGAGTTTATTCAAAAAAAGATTGTTTTTCATCAATTATTACACACTTTGAAAGGTACAATTAAAACACTTACATGTGTAGAGGGGGATGGTCTGGAGCTGACTATGTTTTCCTCAGCTTCATATATATCCTGAATTTGGTCCTTTTCACAGAGTTTTAGGTACACAGCCTCCAGAGACTATAAATAAATAAGACACCTAAGACCAAAACAGTATTTCTATTCTCACCCTTAATACGATAAAACCTGTCTAGTGGATTACATTTAAGTGAAACACCTCCTCAGGTGGAACACCTCTTCAGGTAGAACACCTCTTCAGGTGGAACACCTCTTTAAGTGAAATACCTCTTTAGGTAGAACGCCTCTTTAAGTGAAACACCTCTTTAGGTGGAACACCTCTTTAGGTGGAACACCTCTTTAAGTGAAACACCTCTTCAGGTGGAACACCTCTTTAAGTGAAATACCTCTTGAAGGGAAACATTTCATAGTCAATTGACTTCATGTTATTTGAAACAGGTTTTACTGTAACTCTAAAATACTTAAATGAATAGTCATTTTCATTTCTATAGCAATGTGTTTTCCCTGGGAAATAAACAGGGAATATAACTGATATTCAAAAGATCATGTATCAGATCCAATATCAGCCAAAATCCTGTATCAGATTCCGTATCAGAACTATTCCTGGTCAAAAAATTGTTGAAAATATTACATATGATTAATCAAATTGAATCATTTTATATCACCATCATTTGGTTGTGAGTGATGATATACAAAACTAATATTTTGGAATAAATAGGCTATTGATGGAACATTAATTTTATCTTTGAGAAAATATAATATTGTCCTCAGAAAATATGATGAGCCTCATGAGCCCAGAAAATATCAAACTGACACTTGGGCTATGGCCATCAGTCAACAAACTTTCCTTGGGCAATTTCATATTTTCCCACAGAATAAAATCCATAGTCTATTCCTACCATTAAATAACCTCTATATGTACACTGTAACTAACATAATCAATGGGAACTCTCTTTTTTGTAAAAATCAGAGTTTAATAGAATGTGTTGATAAAAAGATGGCAGCATTTTAAAACCACCAATGCAAATCTCTCAAAAGCTTTATATAGGCATGCATGGGATAAATCAAATATCCATACCTGCATTTCATATTTCTCTATCAGGGCACTTGGAGAACACTCAGCAAGAAGTCTTCCATTTCTCATGAGCCCAACCTAGATATGGGTTGAATAAAATCAACTTAATTGCGAACAAAGAGATTACATGTATTTGTATATACATGTATTGTTGGGAGTACACACTTTTTAAAGTGTCACCCACTCATGCATTGTATATATGTGTGTCTATTTAAAAAAAAAAAAATGTAAGCATTATACTAGTTTGGAAAAAATCTTTTTTATTTTGCATCAAGCTCTTCTTAAGACTCTTTAAAAATGATTTTTGGGGAAAGGTAGGCCTTTCTGCCTCTTTGAAAGTAAAATTAGTATATTCATAAAATGCAAAAATTGATCATAATCATTACGAAGTATCAAGGAACCGAACAACAAAAACAAACAAACAAACCATATCTGCTTGCTTTGCTTCCTCAACATAGTGAGTTGTAATAATGATTGTTGTGTTGCTTGACTGAGCAATCTGGATCATGTGTTGCCAAATCCTACAACAACAAAATATGTATAACTATTGAAACAAACAAACAAACAAACAAACAAACAAACACATACTTCATTGTGCTATCTTGATATTGAATTGCCAAATCCTGCAATGCAAAATACAACACTGTAAAGAATTATCAAAAATGGTAAAACAAACAAACAAACAAACTAACAAGCAACAATACAAGATTATGGAATCTTAATCATGTATAATCAACATACACAAACAAACATGTACAAACAAGCAACATTTTACATAGAAAAAATAAAAGAACAAAATATCACATAAAGGGTAGAATAAAAATTGTTATATTTACCATTTAATGACAATAACTCAGGCTTCTTATAGATAAGAATTACGGACAACCCAGTTAGTGTAAAATATTATTGTATAATGCTGCTGTTCTCTTTTTGTACAAGGAAATTGATAAATAGGATAATAATCCTCAATAGGAAAAACATTTTCTATTTCTAGAAAATATTTCTGTATACAAATAGAAAATGGATATGTCATGTGAGAAGTACAGTAAAACATGCCAAGTTCATAAGTCGTGTTATTTTCATCAATTCTGAATTTCTCAACATTTTGCATCGTGATAATTTTACTAATCCATCAAGTTTTTACTTGATTATTTAAATGAAAGATGTTACAATCTTGAATAAAGACAGATTG